GGGTGCCACGGCGGGAGGAGATGACAAGAACGTCTGCTTCTACAGGGAGACGTTGCTCACTTGAAGGCAGCAGAGCTGTTAGGGGAGAGTCTGTGGGAATGACATTTAAAGCAGGATCATGTACCTGGACTTTATCTCTAACTGACCAAAGTGGAGGCGTTCCTAACATGGAAGACAAGCTTTCCAGATCCCCTCTGTGATGAGTTAGGGGATAGAGTCCTCGTCCTATCTCCCTCCGAGTGAGTTTCCCACAGAGGGCCTCTCTGAGTTGGAGTCGCCTTGACCCCTGTGGTTTGGGGGACTGGGGTACATGCGAAGATTATTCCAGAAACTTAACCATGAACAGTACCTTGGGAGGACAGTGACCAGACCAAGAATAACGGATGTTTCTAGGGCAGGGTTTCTCAGCCCCAGCAATTTGGGGCCCGATGGAATCACCTAATTGCAGTGCAGAAGAAAGACCCAGCAGTTTGTTTCCAGTTCTGTTCTGACACACAGGGGTCTCAGTGGGTCAGAACCTCCTCATCGGCAACCGGGTTGGTCCTGGCGTGGCACTCGTTGCTTAACAAAACCAACCCGGGCCCTGGAAGAAAGAGCTACAGATACTGGGGAGCACACACAGGGCTCACCATGAGTCCCGGTTGACCCCACAACGACTGGTCAGGTCCCTGGGATGGCTGGCACCCAAAGGATGCAATAGCATGTATATCTATCACCAGCAGTGGGTTTAAAGGCATTTGGAGGCTGGAAATTCAAATCCGGGATCAGCTCTAGGGGAACATGCTTTTTGGTCAGTGGCCCCTGGGTTCGTTTGCTTTCCTTGGCATCTGTCTTACTGAGCCTGTGTGTGTGTGTGTGTGTGTGTGTGCGCGCGCGCATGTCTTTACTTCGTTCCTTTTATGGGACACCTGTCTGTCTGTCTTTACTTCATTCTTGTTATGGGCCACCTGTCTGTCTGTCTTTACTTTGTTCCTTTTATGGGACACCTGCTCAAAAAGGATTATGTGCAGCCCCCGCCCTCACCCCACATCCCCATGTGACCTCAATCACAAGTGGGGACATACTGCAGTTACAAAGATTAGGACTTCTGCATTTTTCTTTTCTTTTCTGGGGGACACAGCATAAGCCATGCAGGCTGGGTCCTTCTCTGTGGGCAGAGGGGCCTCCTGTGCATGACGGGGTGCCGAGCAGCTTTCCTAGCCCCACCTACTAGATGCCAGCAGTATCCCTCCCTCCAATTGTGACAACCAACTGTATCTCCAGGCAGTGCCATTGTCCCCAGTCCCCAATGAGAACACAAACCCCCACCCCCACCCCCGTGAGGCTGCATTTCAGGCCCCCTGTATAAATCAGGCCCCTCCCCTCTGCTGGCTCACCTATTTTCCTCCAACTGAGAGTCCCTAAGCCTTTCCATTTGCTGGTTCCTTTGGGGTAAGTGGGAAGAATCTTCCAGAAATGAACAGTTCTCTCTCCACCGGGCTCTCTAGTCTAAGGTGACCAGATTTTAACACTGGTAAAGCGGGACAAAAGCGGGACACCATTGATAAAACTCATATCCTGGCGAAATAGCCACTTGGCAGCCGAAAACCGTCTACCCTAGTTTGTCATGCATTCTTTCCAAAAAATCCGGACTTTTAAAAAGTGTCACGGGACGCAGGAAAAATTGTTAAAAATTGGGACTGTCCCACCAAAAGCAGGACGTCTGGTCACCTTACTCTAGTCTCTCTCTGCAGGAAGCCTGGACCACTTCCCCAGGTGTACAGCATCTCCCCCAGGGCAGGCAGCTTGGGAAAGATTGAATGCTGTCTGTCGGAGGAGGAGAGAAGCTGGGAAGATTCTGGAAGTCTGGGCAGGGGACACCCAGGCAGACCCCTGTGTGTCAGAGACCCGCCTTGCAGGGGTCCCTGAAGAGGGCAAGCCCACTGAGTGCCTCTAGGACAGAGACACCACAAGGGGGTGATGTCAGGGAACACAAATCTGCTCTCTCCCAGCTCTGAGGGCCAGTGGACGGAGGACAGGGCGCCCACTCCCTGGACATCTGTCTTCCGTGGGCCTTACCGGCCTGGCTCTGTGTCGGAGCTGCTCCTTATGCCTCACCCTATGCAGATAGGGCCTTGGGACCCTCGCAAAGGAAGCCCGCTCCCACACGGATCAGGGCACGGGCATGTGGTGTTAGCTGCCGTCCAGTCGATCCGGACTCGTGATGATGCAGCAAGTTCAGGTTTCCCTTCAGAAACGGATTGCCAGGCCTTTCTTCCACGGCACCCAGCAAACACAACACAAACAATCCCTCGCTTTCGACTACAGTGACCCCAGAGGACAGGGCGGGACTGTCGGATTCCGAGACTGTGACTCTTTACAGGCGTAGGAAGCTCTGCCTTTCTCCCTCAACGTGGCCGACCTCGTGGTCAGCAGCCCAGTGCCCAGGCCCCCAGGCCTCCTGCCGGGCACTTCTGGGTGGGTTCACATCATCACACTCTTGGCTAGTTGTTGAGCCCTTAGGTGTCTGTAGCACCCAGCGACTCCGCTCCACAGCTTTAGGGGTTAGCACTCCCCGCATCTTTTTTTTTTTTT